AGACAGGACAAAATAATATGTATATTTATAATAATATTATATATATATAAAATAATATAACAGGCTGTCATAATTCTTGGGTTCTAGGGGCTGGGACCACAGAGCTAATCAGCTGTGACCCTGCACAATTCTTTAAGAAGAGAGAGAATAACACCAAAGGCAACTCAGAGATTTTTGGTGCTGCCTCCTTGATTTCAAGAGGTGGGGACACAGCCTTGGTTTTAATAATCCAGACAGTCTCCAACCAAATCTTTGAGGTCCAAAAGATGGGGCATTGAACCAAAGAGGATTATTTTTGAGCCCTAAGATCTAATAGATCTAACAGAATTTGCCTTGCTAGGTTTTGGAATTGCTGAGGACCCATCACTCCTTTGTTCTAATTTCTCCCTTTTGGAGTGGGAATGTCATTTGTTCTACAATAGTATTTTGGAAGCCTATAGCTTATCTGATTTCCCAGCTTCACAGCTAGAGAAGAATCTTGCCTAAGGGTGAATCATGCCTTTTTATTCCTACCTATATCTGATTTAGATAATATTTAGATGAGATTTTAAACTAAGATTTTAGAGTTCATGCTGAAATTAAGATCATTGGGACTCTTAGAATATAATTAGTGTATTTTGCTGATGACAATGAGATAAATTTTGGAGGGTCACGGGGCCAGAATGCTAAGGATTGAATTGTTTCCCCTAAATGTTCTTTCCTCACCTATGAGGACATGATGAGGAAGTGGTCATCTACAAGTCAAGAAGAAAGCCCTCACCAGAAACCTAATTGGCTGGCATCTTGAACTTGGGACTTCTCAGCCTCCAGAACTGAGAAATAAATGGTGTAGTTCAAGCCCTAAGGCTATTATCTGTGGTATTTTGTTACAGAACACACCCATTAGGCCCCTTCCTGGTACCCATGATAGAGATGCAAGATTCATCCTATCATCTTTCCTTAATTTCTTCTGCTTTTTGGCAGATATGATCAACTAATTTATGGTAAATGAATTTTAAATTTATCCTGTTTATTTTCTGTCTTTAATTGTTAAAACATAAGCTCCATGACGAGAGGGGGTTTGTTCCCTGTTTTATTCTTTGCTCTATCTCTAACATCTAGAATAGTTCCTCATCTTCTTGTCCTTGAAGTAATAACCTTTAAAACACTGAGAAATGCTGAAGTCAGCCTAGGAACTCAGAAAAGAAAAAAAAAACCCTGGCATATAATGAAGAACCCAAACACACACACATATGTATGTGTGTGTGTGTGTGTGTGTTACAATATATATTTATGTGTTTGGGTTATATATATGTGTGTGTATGTGTATATATCCATTAGTTATATATCCATAAACATTAGTTTAAATGAGAACACAAAGCATAGGCTGGTGCTGTGCTTCATGCCTAAAGAATAGGCAGGAGGATCCCTTGAGCTCATGAGTTGAAGAGGAGCCTGAGCAAGAGCAAGACCCTGTTTCTACTAAAAATAGAAAAATTAAATAGGGGTCATGGCAGGTGCCTGTAGTCCCATCTACTCAGGAGGCTGAGGCAGGAGGATGACCTAAGCCCAAGAGTTTGAGGTTCAGTGAGTTATGATGACATCATTGCTCTCTAGCCAGGCTGAGTAAGACTGTCCAAAGACAGGAAGAAAAAAAGGAAGGAAGGGAGGGAGGGAAGGAAATGTCAGCTTGGTAAAAGAAGAGTGTTTAAATGTTCTCTTGTAGCAAAAAATACCCAGGAAGGAAGGAAGGAAGGAAGGAGTCAATTTAGTGAAAGAGGATTATTTAAATGTACTTTTGTGGCAAAAAATACCCTTATCAGCAGTCCATAAATTAAGGCACAGTATCTCACAGTCCTAGGTTGAAATTTTATAAGAACAAATTACTAAGAATAATGAATACTTCCAGGAATTTCTAACACATAATACTCTGTGGTCAGTCCAAGAAAGCAATATGTATTATTTGCTTTGCGGGAGAGTAAATACTCTGAAATAATGGACACAAATCCATTTAAACATAATAGTTATCATATTTCAATTTATTTCCAAGTAAATTGGTTGTTACATGCTGAGTTAATACAAAGAATTATAAAAAGATAATTAAATGCATTGAAAAATATAAAAACTAAGTGCAGCGTATGAGACTACATGATTTTCAACTAAAAATCTTTGGATTGTGAAAGTACCACTTAACTCTCTATTTGAAATCTGGCAACAAACTCACTGCCAAATAGCATATTCTATATTGAATTAGATCGTCATCCCCCAGAATACAGAATGTGCATTTCTAAGGCATATGTGTGTTCAGCAACATCCTAATGTATTTTTGTAACCACTAAATGTCAAGCATTATCCATACAGGGCATTAACACATTAATGTTTGCATTTAAAAAGAAAGATCTCTTTCCTCATTACATTACACATTTATAGAACAGAGATCTGTCACATAAATTACTGCAGAGTAGTTCAAGCTAAACTTTATAACACTTGAATCATATAATCGGGGGCAAATAACCTTTAAAATGAAAGACAAATGGTGAAATTTAAGGGCATTTAATTTGCATAAATGTAATGTTAACAGTCTTTTCCTGGTTACATATTTTATGCTTAATTTATATATGTCACTCTGTTAGGTCCTTAACACTCTCATAGGTCAGTTTTAATTTTTTCTGATTTTATTTTACCATAATAAGTATTATGGATGTTGTTAAGCATATATAAAATTAAGGTGATCTCATAAAAATAACTCAGTGTTACTCTAGAAACATTCTGGCATTAGGACCATATTGTAGTTTTTGTGTTGTTGTTGCCTACTTTAAAAAATAAACATGTATGTTTTAGAATCTTATACTTTTAACCTCATATTCTGCTCCTGTACTCTTGGAATAGTCCTAGAGACTCCTGCCGGGTCAACAGTTGTCATGGCCCTGCTGTGCTAGAGAAGCCTTAGGACAAAGGACTTTATAAGGTGCAGGGTTTGATCTTTTATTTTGAGTACAGCAATAACATTTGACACCCAAGTTATTGGCTTTAACGTTTTATCCATTAAACTTCTACTATAAATACTGAGATGCATTCAAATGCAACTGCTCAGACAATACTGTGTCAGCTTTAGCAATAAAATAGAAGAAATCATCCATCAATAATCTATAAAGACTTTAGTGTCATCCTTGGTCTATAATCTCTAACAAATCAGAAAATGCTTACAATACATGAATTCAGTTGTGTTCCAAAGTTGTATAGCAAAATATCGATTTATACACAGAAAAATGTATTTTCTTTCTTTAACTTTCTTCGACTCATGTTTATTTGTCAGTGGATTAGAGATGGTGAATATTACCACCATCCACCACTGGAATAGTTTGATTGGACTAAGCAGGGAAAAGTTCTCTCAAAGGCAATTTTACTGCCAATCGTCCCTTCCACCTGTCCCTGGGGTAGTATTTGCTGGGAATGTGAGTGGCCCACTCACTTCAATCCAAATTACTGAGGAAGACATTGAGGATATACTTTTGGAACAAAAAACTGTTCTTTGTAGCTCATCTAATCAAAATTGGAATGGCTTGGTAAGTTACGGGAATTTGAAACAGTATTCTTCTTTCACTTTATTATCATGTCCTACCTAGAATTTCATGTTATAATTAAAGACCATACGGATGTTTCCCACACAATTGCTAGAAACCATTACCGTCATTTGTCAGGCACTATAATTTATTCTTATAGATACCAATGAAAGCTCCTAAGTAACTGGTCTTTTCACTTGATTTTCAACCTGTTCCTCAAACTCACTTTAAAGTACCTTGCTTTTTCTTACACTGGCAGTTAAAAGGCCATTAGGCTGAAACCTAATTACATACCTATGACAATCTTTGGAAGGAAGATTTCTTCTTAGGCAAATCAATTTACCACATAAAAAAGTGAAAGTCTGTGTCCAGTTCCCCCTGGCCTGTTGTGTTTGTCAGTTATCCTGTTAGTTTTGGTGAGCTTGCAGATAATTACAGCCAAGCTCTCTTCTAGCAAAAGGAAAAGAAAAATAGACTACAGAAATCCATCTATCTACATGGATATAGACAGATAAACATAGTATAGTATATTGACTGTCTGTCTCTAATAAGAAAGTCCAAAAAACTACTATAGTTAAACTTACACTGGAATAGCTTCATGTTATTCTACTAATGGTATATTCTCATTGAAAAATCACATTAGTGAAGAGATATAAAATGTGCAGTATCCACATTTTCTGGCCCCAACAAACAAAGCCTCTTATTGGGTAGAAATATAGAAATTAAAGCTATTGGGTCTGATAATCCTGAGCATTTCCAATATTCACAGAAAAACGAACTAATGTCAACGACTTGGTTTTATTGGGATACCTATATTCTTCTGATTATGAAAACATTCCTGAATGCTTTAGGAATGAATAATTATATGGAAGAATATGGAGGTCAATAGTTTCTAGCTTGCCATTTGTTTTCATTTTCTGTGACTTTCACATCTTATTGTATAAAATAATATTTAACCTTACGGATATGTAAATGGTTTTGGTAGTTGGTAAAATTTCCTTAGAATTTTACCCTGCTTAGTGCAATCAAATTTGCTAAGTTGTTTTTATGTGTTAGGTACAGATGATCCTGAATTTTTACAAATGGCTTATAAAGGTTCCAATTACCTTCTGACAAAAGTATTTCTCCACTTCCTAAATCAATTTACAGCAAAATAGAAATAAAACAACACAAAATACTGTGGGAAAGGAAATAAAATTATGTTTACACTTCAGTACGCTAAAACGAAATACATACCAATTTTGATAGGAAATAAGTAAGTGAATCTGCTTATTAACAAAGATTAGGAAAAAACTGTTGGAGATTCTTGACCACAGCTACGCGGCTACTAAGTCATATCATGCTTAGTGTAGCAGAGGTCACCTGTAGGGTCTAAACAACAAAATGTTATGCAAAATGCCAGCAGAGGCCTCTGTGGCAGTTGTTGAAGGTTAAGAGCTGTGCTGCAGCCAAAGGATCTCAGACTTCACTCTGGTCACTGAGTTTGCCCAAATTCTGAAATAGAAGAAATAAGCATACGTCACTTCCTCAACTCTTAAACTGATACGTCACTTCCTCAACTCTTAAACTGGTACAGCGGTAAAAGTGCAGAGTAACTGAAGCAAGCTGCCCGGCCAGTCTAAGAAAATGGAAATTCTATGGCATCAGAGTATAGTCTGTTAAAGTTCCAGGTCCAAGGTCAGATTTCTGACTTTGAAACCAGCTCTACCACTTACAAATGGTGCAGTTTTTCTGGGTCAGTTTCCACATTTTTAAAACTGTATTAAATCATAGTATCTATCTATAAGGTTATGACAGATTTTGTTAATACAGGTAAAGCCTTCAAAATAGTCCTGGAACACAGTGAGCACTAAATACATGTTAGGTACATAATAATGATAATAATAATAACGATGCCATTATTATTATTATTCTTTGGTAAATACATACTGTTCTGATTGTATATAATAGGGATGACTCTGGGAGGCACCAGATGTTCTAGGGATGAGGAAAGGCACAACAATTCAAAAGTCATAGAAAAATTGCAAGAAATGGAAGTTCTCGGCAGCTATAAAACTAAACCACAAACCCCAGTATTAATAAGGTAACTTTGGCATTTCAGATCAACTGAGCCCTAGATTCTGCAGATAATGTTTTCAAAGATGGCAATATAAGCTTAGAAGCTAAGGGTATCAGAGCAGAAGGGGGGGAAAAACCTAAAAGGCTATATTTAGATTTTTTGTATTTGAGAGAGATGGATTCACATTTCCAGGACAAAGGATTGTGGAAGCATTTATTTTACTAGCAATTCGTAAGCGGTGACCAAATCCTCTGAGCAGTGACACTGTTTGAAGATCCAAAAAACAACTGTTCATAACTGGCCCCCCTCAAGATGGAAACATTCCTTTACTTGTAGCAGAGAACTCTGAGGTGGTGGTGACCAAGATTTTAATATCTTTTAGATGTCCATGGGGAATTAAGCTGAACTAAAAAATGCATAGCCCTTCATTCTAGATTCTAATTTTTCTTTTACCTTCCACATGCAACTAGATCAACTCACCTTATTTGAATGGATGTTACTTATCGCAGCAGATACGGATTCAAAAAAAATTGGTTTCTCTGATTCTAGATTTCCATAATACTGCATTGCTTTTATCAAGGAAGCTACAATAAAGCACAGGAAATGTAAGGACATAGGGAGCACGGCTTTCATGGACACACGGGGAAGCAGAAGGATCGTGTTCCACCTTAGCCAAGGACCCTCTCTTACCTGTGCAGTGAGCTAGCAACACATCCACACTCCTGTCCTTACAATCCATGTAAACCTGGAAGTATGAAAACAGTATACCCACAATTAGTTGGGGAGAGCTAGTGGTAAGGAGTAAGTCTTCAGAAGAAGTAAGACTTTCTAAGGGGGGAAAAACGCCGATGTTTATGAAGTCCAGCCACCAGAGGGAGGTATTGTTACACAGCCAGGCATAACCAGCTGGCCTCTGAAAGGCTGGGATTACTACAGCAGGGCATCTAACCTTTACTGCAGCTAAATTTGGCTGCTTACATTTTCTACTTCAATTAATCAAAATAAAAACATTACCTTTATTTCCCTACAAGAATGATATAAAACTATTCTCAGGCTCTATTTTTGGAAGTCAAGGACCCATTTGTGAAAGTGATGAAAGCTGCAGACCTCCTGCTCACTTGAACTTTTTACAATGAATAACTTGAGCACATTCACAGGCTCTGTAAATTCCTCCGCAGATAGTAAACTGAGAGCCTCGCTGCAATCCAAGCCATGTCTGATAGCCCAGCTTCCATTCTTAAAGGTCTATCAACATGAGACAGCCTAACCAATTTGTGTGGCACACTTTAGAGCTCTTCCTCTGTTAAGTCCTAGAGATTCTCAAGTAAAAACAACTTATTAAAGGCTCTGGATCTTAAATTTGCCTGGACCAAACTCACCAGTCCAAGAAGTTCAGTGTAAATAAATTTAGGTGTTTTAATTACAGTAGGATAGATTTGGTTATATAATGGTGATGTATCTTACGTCTAAAGTATAGAAGGCCACATTTACAATGTATTCTGAGAGCATGAGACAAACTTTCCCTCATTCTTCCTACAGGAAGCAATTCTAAGTGAGAAGAATTGTGAAATAAAAGGAAATACATCCCTCTGCGCCTAAATGAGCAACCAAACTAAAAGCACATGGTCTCGGTCTTTGCCACTGACTACACGGCTCCTATTTTGTAAGTTAAAATGATTAATTCAAGGTGACCTCGTAGTGTTTGACTTTGTGTTAAGCTCAATGAAGCACAAACACATAGCTACGGGTGGTTTGTGGATGTTGATAAACGTAATCTCCAGTTCATTGACCTCTCCAGCGTCCCAAGTGAAAGAATAAGAAGTCGCCTCACTTCTTTTAACCTACAACTCCCAGAAGAACGTCCCTTATGCGAAAGTGACCAGGAAAACAATCCAGGGAGTGTTTGAAAGCGTGAAGACATGCATGGCTGACGGGTCCCTGTGGCTCTTTCCTGTGCGCCCTTCTCCAAGGTGGCTGGAACTAAGAAATAACACTAGTTGCAATGAATTATTTGCACCTTAAGAAATGACTTATTTCAAATGAGAAAAAAAAAATAGAAGCTAGAATGATCGCATTCTTACTATAACAACTGCTAGACACTCGGTGAGGTTCTTTATATGCAATACATCATTCAAGCCTCACGACAACCTGATGAAGTGCATATTTCTACTTTCAGTTTATAGGAAAGAAACAAATACTTGAGTCCAGATCACAGAGCTAGTACACAGCTTATATTTGGATCAAAAGTTTGTCTGTCTTTAAAGCCTGTGTTCTTAATATATATTATAAGGTTATTATAACTATGATGAAATAAACAAAATAGTAATAAGGAAATGAAAAAGAGCAAACTTTTACAAAGCTGATTTCGTATAGCGAGATGAAAAGCACCTGGTTAAGGGCAAATGTTACTGTTCGCTAATTTTATTTTATTTATTTATTTATTTTTTGAGACAGGATCTCACTTTATCGCCCTTGGTAGAGTTCTGTGGCATCACAGCTCACAGCAATGTTCAGCTCTTGGGCTTAGGTGATTCTCTTGCCTCAGGCTCCTGAATAGCTGGGCTTGTAGGCGCCTGCCACAGTGCTGGGCTTTTTGTTGCAGCTGGACTGGGTCCAGGTTCAAACCTGCCATATACCTTCAGTATATGGGGCCAATGCCCTACTCCCCAAGCCACAGGTACCATCCAATGTCTGCTAATTTTAAAATAAATTCCATCAGTTGATTTATTCCATCATTCCACTGTATATAATTGTAAAACCATTAAGATAAACGAAAAAAATGTTTTCTTTTAAAAAAAGATCCCCTTTTTTGACATGCTCCGTACCTAGAGTGCTTAGATTCCTGTGAATTTTCAACCTGAGATGATAAGCTTAGTGGGAGTACATAACCCAGTTCCCCTTCTTTATTAATTCTAAGTCCCGCTCTGTAATATCTAGAGTGGGTAGCTCATAGTTTCAGAAATTAATTTACAATGCAATTGAACAAAGTATATACATACTGCCCTTTCTTAGTAAAAGGATAGTTTTAGTTCAATATTTCTGAAACTATAACCTCAGGGTCAAAATCCCCTGTGGGTGTTTAAAATGAAGATCCTGGACCACAGCCAAGACCCAGAAGGCTGCAGTTTCAACAAGTGCCCCACGTGACCCTTAAGCACACAGTCTAAGAGACTCTTCTAGACTGTACCAACACAGGACCAACACAGAGTAAGTTCAAATGCCAGACTCGAGAAGCCCTCCTACGGAGAGGGGCTGTGTGTTCACAATTTAGGTTTAGTTGGAAGAAATTGTGACGTATGCAGGTGAATTCTATGTTCAACTGTGCAAAAGCTTTAATAATTAACAATAAAACAATAAATATGGGGAAAGAACAACTTGCCAAAAACTAGCCACCAGATTTTAGGCCTATGATATTTAAAGTTCAATTGTTACAAGTTAATTTTTTTCTAAATATCTGCTAATTCTGAATAAGCCCCTCATTTTTATTAAATGAACAAACTGAGACCAGACAAGTAAGATGATCTCCCCAGATATTGGGACAGAGAAAATCTCCTAAGATTTTCACACACTAAGCAGTTTCCCTCCATAGTCTCCCTCCGTCATCTTCATAGGGAGCCAATATTAAAGCTGACCTTTGTACTATCTTGAGATTAAAAGGTCAAACATGTCAAAGTACATTTAAAATACAAGTGAATAGGAACACGTGGTATGCAACGCCACAAGAAAACAATCAAAATTCCTTTACAAGGCCACTGATTGGAAGTTTTTAAAACGTCTGATTTCCACTTCTGGCCATGAGGGGTCACTACCACAAGATTAACCCATCCTCCACAAAGAACCACACAAACAGGGCAAAAATACATAACTGTATTTAGACAATGGGCACCCAACAGCAAAGAACTAAGTTCCTTGAGAAAAGGAGTACAAGAGAAGTTAGTGCAGTTCAAAAAATTTACTGCTGGGCAGCGCCTGTGGCTCAAAGGAGTAGGGCACTGGACCCATATGCTGGAGGTGGTGGGTTCAAACCCAGCCCTGGCCAAAAACTGCAAAAAGAAAAAAAAAAACCTACTGCTTAGAGATGAAAACAGGCCATCCCTCTAATCATCTCACCTTTCTGCCACAAAGTAGTATCTGGGCCATGGCATGGTGAGGGGACCCAAGCAAAATCCAACAGCTTCCCTGAGCTGAGCAGACAAATTGGAGCTCAGGGAGGGTTAGATGGGTGAGATCTGTGGGAGTAAGTGGTAGAAATGAGGGAGATATCAGAGAAAGAACTCCAAGAATTATAATGGGGTTTTGATTAAATCTGTGGCTGAATACCAAGACTTAGGGAAGACTCTAACAGTGGTTCTCAACCTTCCTAATGCTGCAACCCTTTAATACAGTTTCTCACATTGTGGTGACCCCAACCATAAAATTATTTTGGTTGCTACTTCACAACTGTAATTTTGCTACTGTTATGAATTGTAATGTGAATATCTGATATGCAGGATGTATTTTCACTGCTACAAAGGGGTCACGACCCACAGGTTGAGAACCACTGCGTCTAAGAGGCTAAGGTAAGAAAACTTCTTGGGGCCAATACCCAAATATTAAGTGAGCTGAGTCCTATGCACAGAAGCTGGTGGAGGTCTGAGGACACAGGGGAACAGATGTTGCCCCACCTTTTCTCCAATCTAGGGCATTGAGGAAGAGAACAGAAGGAAATAATAAAAGGGTAGGGCTGGTGAGGTGGCTCATGCCTATAATCCCAGCACCTCTGAAGGTCAAGGTGGGAGAACTGCTTGAGGCAAGGAGTTTGAGACCAACCTGGGCAATACAGTGAAACCCTGTCTCTACAAACAAATAGAAACATCAGCCAGATGTGGTGGCGCATTCCTGTAGTTCCTACTGAGACAGAACAAAATATCCTAGAAGTATCTGAGTTTTCCTTGGCTTGACAAAATTAGGTTTCCTTACATTTGTGGGAATGGGTTTTGTGAACTATGTCAGTTTTAAAGATGTAAACAAGCCCTCTAATCATCTCACATTTCTACCACAGAGCAGCATCTGGGCCGTGGCCTGGTGAGAGGACTCAAGCAAAATCCAACAAGTTTTACTGTTTACACTTCTACATCATGGACACCATGAGGTAGAGAAGAAGGTGCCATCACCCACAAAAACAGAGAAAAGCCCTTGTGATGGGCACCATTTCAGAGACCAGGAGTTGTATTGAACAAAAGTGTTTCTGGCCATGGTAGGACAGAAAACCTTCTGCCATCACCAAGGCACTTGCTCGTGCTAGCAGGGGTTTCTCTTCTGTGCTTAACAAGGAGCCTTATAAGTTGACTGTCCAGTGGGTCATTTAGATCACTAAATCTCAAGCCTACCTTCTGTTCTCTCTGATTACCCCATGTGAGTACCCCCACCATAGACACACACACACACATTCCCTTAGAAGCTTGATGGAGTCCCCAAGCCTACTTTCTGTTCTCTCTGATTACCCCATGTGAGTACCCCCACCATAGACACACACACACACACACACACACATTCCCTTAGAAGCTTGATGGAGTCCCCAAGCCTACCTGCTGTTCTCTCTGATTACCCCATGTGAGTACCCCGACCATAGACACACACACACACATTCCCCTAGAAGCTTGATGGAGTCCCCAAGCCTACCTGCTGTTCTCTCTGATTACCCCATGTGAGTACCCCCA